CTTATTTCGCAAGTAGCCGAACTAATTGGTATTGTTAAATGCTATTGTGAATATTTTTTTATTATTTCTTATTTTACAATTTTCAAAAAAAACAACAGATAATAAGAATTAATAAAAATTTATAAAAACAACGAATAATATTTCTATTAAAGTTTCGATTATGGGGGGCTAAGCTCCCCCACCAAGCCCTCCCCTGATGTCCACCTATGCTCAGTATTCAGTACTAAATATTACGATCAAATTATTAACTATTAATTAATGTTTATCATAAATTAAACACCAGTCATTTACTACATAATTACTAAATAATTTTATTAATTGTGTATGAAATTTTTTTAACGTTGATTTTAATCTTAAATGTATTATATATTAGTATTTCATTTATTATTAATTAATTAATTTTATTTATTTTATAAAATAATGTTTTAGATTAGATTCTTGAACTTTATATTTCCAATTTTTTTTATATCCTCGTACCACTTATATATTTTGAAAATGCTAACTTTAAAAAAAAACATTTTTATTTTATAGTTGTCAAATTTAAAATGTCTACATTGTTTTACATGTATAGCATTTTACTATTAAAATAGTTATTGAAATATAATGATTTAATGTTCAAAAGTTAAATAAAATATGTACAGATATTATATTTATTATTATTTATTTTAATGATTGTGAATAATCATTATAAATGAGATAAACAATTTGACGAGGCGGTTTATATAGTAGTGTATAAATGAGGACGTGAATATTAAATTAATTAAATAATATACAATAATAAAATAAAAATTATATCAAAACATTTTGGTAGTTAACACATTCGCTTGCGTAACAGCTTAATAGCAGCGTTCAACATTTTGAATTGCATAATTTATTGAAAAACTGACTTTCAAACATTAACAATGAACTGTTGTAGGTTATTGCTGTCTTAGCTTGTGCACATCAGCATTATAAGTATTGATGTCGCATTTCAATAGACAATATGCATCAGCGATCACGATCTGCAAGAAAAATAATCGAAAAAGATTAGCATAGAACACTATTGAAAATTTGGTAAATACATAATGCGCACTTTTGTTTTATTTAAATTTATAAAAGTTATAGAGTATATACTTTATAAGTTATAAAGTACTCAATGTAATATAATTGGTTTAGTAAGTAAGGTAGGTTGCTAAATAGGGCAGAATCAGTTTTTTATTTCATAAATTATGAGAATATAATACAATTTATGTATATTTTATACTGATTTGTGTTTGGATTTAAGAATCGGGGCTTTAACATATACACTAAAATATAACTAAAAATAAAATGCAAATAACTCAAAATTGATGTACATTTTTAGATTCTAAGTGAAACGAGGAAATTATTGGTTTTCCATGATGTGTTATTTTTGTGTGCCTGTGTAAAAGAAGGATTGTTCTGATTATCACATTCATAGAAAGTTTCAAATAGGAAATTTTATCTATTTAGTTTTGTGAGAACAAGCACGGATCCAGAGCAAAGGTCTGGGAGGGGCCAACTACAAATTAGAATAAATTATCAACATATTCAACATAGTATACTATTATACTATATCAGTGGTAGATCCAAGGTGGGATTAAGTGGTAAATACCCTCCCCCCATTTGAGCTTAGTATATTAAATATTATTTCGTTTTTGATTAGTGAAATCATCGATATATTTTATGTTCAGGAAATGACCAATGTCTGGATAAAATGTGTTTTTCCTTTTTAGTGTTTCAGATGCATTGTCAGGTATAACTATTGTTGTATGCTGCTATAACATAAATAAAATTAGCAAATAATTTAAATTAAAATAATGTAATTTATAATTAGTCACTAATAAAATATAAATAATGTTAGATTAATATAGATTATAAATAGATATAAATAAATATCTGTATATATAAAACAGTAAGCTGATTGACTGCTATCTACGCACAGCTCAAACCATTGGACGAATCTGGCTGAAATTTGGCATACAGATAGCTATTATGATGCAGACGTGCGCTAAGAAAGGATTTTTCGAAATTTTGAATTTAAAGGGTTGAAATCGGTTTAATATTTTTTGACCAGGTCGTCTTGGTCTTAATCTTGGCAGGTTACATATATTTATATACTTAAACCCGGCAACGACGGGTAATTCAGCTAGTATAGCATAAAATATACCTACTCGTATATAGCATTTGTGCATTCTGCGTTTTCAACACACGTAAATACTAGATTCACCATCGTTCTCAGAATGTCTGGAGGAGGCCATGGCCCCTCGACCCCCTCTCTGGATCCGTCATTGTTTGTGAAACTAATTTACGATTTTTCAAATAGTTTTTTTTCATAAATGTGAAAAATTGACAAAAAGTTAAAAAAAAAAATCATTTACCGGTATTTTAGGTTTTGATAAAATAGAGTTTTATGTTTTCATCTTAACTTAATAAGTCATAGAGGCTTGAAATTGTCACTGCCTATATAACTATTCAATATAATTAGTACAATTTTCAAACGACTTTTTTAACCTTATTATTATTTGTAAATGCTATGTTTTTAAGCACTTTTTCAAAAATATCTTAAATATATCTTTAAATGATTTTGGTTTAACAATATGTAATACAAAATCAATCAACCTTATACTTGTATTTATCTATTACTAATTAATGAAAAAAAAAAAAATTATCAAGGTTTATACATTATAGGTACATTTATTATATTAATTTATTACATTTTTATTTATTACAGGGATATTACATTTTTACAAAACGATAAAAATAACGAAAATCCACATCATTTTTAAAAAAATTCATAAACCTTTAAATTTCATATTTAACATTTGACAATTTAATAAAATATCTTCATACTATATTCTGGGTAGTCAAGAAACCAAAAAAAATTACAGGAATGTAGCAACAAAATGTATAGCGTCATAAATTAAACGATATTAGTTAGTTTTTATCTTATAAATACTATTTGTAGCAACTCGAAATATTTACTTTTGTTTTTGCTAAATTTAGACATAAAAAGTTTAACCTACCATATTAAAGAATTTGATTCTATTATTTTATCAACGATCCTTAGAAGTATGAATTGATCTCATATATCTTCATCGGGGGAATGTAAGTTCCTACATGAGACTTAGCAGGTAAAAAATATATATGTTAGTTCTTACACTGCGGAAAAAGGTACCTATATAAGTTCTTACACGGTAAAAACCAAGAACGTATATTAAATTTTACACAGCGGAAAAAAATTTAAAATAATCCCAAATTGGAAAAATCGGATTATCACAGAGTAATTATCCCATCGTAAATAAAATAACGCAACTTTTCTCTCATGGTGTAGGAACTAACCGTAACTATACGCATCTATTTTTTACCGCAAAGGAACTAACATACGCATCTGTTTTACCGTTTAGGAACTAATACATTTTATTTGTAGGAACTAACGTATGTAATTGTTTATCTGCTACTCTTGTGCAAGAACTAGAGGTGGGCAAAAAGTTTGAAACATCGATGTTTCGATGTATCGATGTATCTACATTAAAAACATGTTTTTCACACGATGTTGGTGATCAATATTTTCGACAAAACTATCGATGTTTACCTTATAAAGTTTTATATATATATTTAAAAATATAAATTGTAATAATAGATATAAATAAAATAACCGTATGATCTTTCATCAGTATTCAATATTCTTATTCTTAGTAATTTAATGCCGACAATGCAGTATAGATTATAGACAATAGTCAATAATAAAGAGACTCAGGTACTTTTTTTTGAATAAATATGGACATTGGACATGGTGATTCATCATCGTTCTGATAATCTATAGTTATGCATTCCAGGAATCAATCAATTGACATTTTAAATAGCCATAATATTATGATTTGTTGTTTAATAATACTGAAGAAGTTTTCAAATCTTAAATTTAAAATATTTAAATAACGTACTTATTTAAACATTGGACCTCGGATAAGAAAAAAAACGATTTTTTTTCAATACATCGCAATAAAAACATCGATGTATTTTGCCCATCTCTAATAAGAACTATTTCCTAGAAGCCTCCAAAAAATTAATTTTTATTTATTTCGTTCAGGTAAATTGTTCTTATTCTATTGAACTTGTGGTGAATGACAATAATACTAAAATTATCACTTTTGTTATTATTTATGGACGATAATTTTTATTATATGGGTCGTAATATTATGGTATTTTAAATATATAATCTAAAAATAATAGATGTTTGGAATAATAGTCAGAAAAAATTAAATCTCTTATTTTCATCTAGATTTTGGTATTTTTTTTTAATTTATAATTGTTATTAACATTAATTGGAGAAAGAGCAGTGGTGTGGATGGCAAAGCCCTCATGAAATGCTACGTTGAAAATGTATAGGGTTTCATCTCCCAATATATTTGATCACCCTATGCCTGTGGCACCTATTCATGCATGTTTTTGTATGGTTTTATGTTATAATATGACGAATTCTTCTGGAAATATTTCGCTTGTATATGTTTATAATGTAGGAATGCGTAAACGCAATTAATAAACATCATACGATATAGACATCTTAACAGCTGAAAATGTTTGATTGAGAGTTATTAAATGAAACGATTAGGTATTCGACGTACGAAATTAGTTATTTGTTCGTCACATAAAACTTTTCTGTATTATCGTAGCCGCATAAAAAATAGTCTACATAAAAAATGGACACTTGATTGGATTTTTTTTCCAGACGTTTAAATCAAAGCATTTTGAACATATATGTCCGATACTTATCGCTGTGTTAATTAATAATATTACGAAAATAGAATATTTGGACTGTGATCACGCGGGGTCAGTCCGCTTGATGTCGTTGCGGTACCGCCGTGTTTCCCCCCGGAGACCGCATTCCGCGAGCACACCGTACGAGCGTACACCGCTCCGCCGCTGACGTTGCCACCGCTACCGCGTTGCCAACCGTCTGCTCGACCGCCGTCGCCGCCGCCCGACCCGTGTTTCCGACGGCTACCAGCGTAGCAGTGCATTGTTCGCGTCCGTCGGCCGTGGTTTCGCGTCACCCGGTGTGCCGCGTGCGCTCGACTCTGATCATGTCAGAATCATAATATTTTTTTTACAATTCAAACAGTTTTTGGAAAAATAAAATAAAAATACATTCCGTACAATTATTACCTGACGTAACCGTCGGATGGGGAAAAAACGACGACCATCATGGTATGAAATAAATATGAATATTATTTGGTCGTGTCGTCCGTCGCGCGCGCGCTAGCCCGTGTGTGCGTGTGTGTATAATATAATATCGTGTTTGTGCGCGCGCGCCGCCCGCGTATGTAGTGTGTAACTGTAGTGTGTTACTGCGGAGTGCAGTAAGTTGTGCGCGGTGTAGGCCGTGATCGCCGAATCGTCGGAACTGTTTCCTTGGCGTTTGTTAGATATTTGTTCGTTTTCGAGTGCGTCGCGCGAATAGTGCGATCAGGGCGCCGGCCGCCCCGCCGCCGGTGGCCAATCAATGCGTGCCGCCGCCACCGCCGCCGCCGCCGTCGTCGTCATCGTCGTCGCTGCCGCCGCCTGTCGTCGGCTGCAACGCGAGGTACCTATGTATTATATTATCATTATTATTATTATTATTATTATTATTATTATGAACAACGTTGTGCTGTTAATAAAATAATAACACCCCGTGAACACACTGTAAACACTTTAAACGCAATTACAGCTTAGGATATCACCTCGAACACGATACAATAATAATAACATAACTGTACCCACAGGTCGTACCTGTGCAATTGTATGTAATATGTGTTGTATTATTGTATTTATGTATTACGTTCCTCCGCCCTCGTGGCCGTTTTGCGGCTAGCTACATATTATCCTGTATTTTATATATTTTTCACCACTCATTCGGTGGCCGGTAGTCGGTCGCCGCAAAACCGGACGTGCCGCAGCTGCACGCCGCGGCCGGTAGCCGCCACCGACCCCCGCGGCCGTGGTATAACGCTAGCGTTCGTGCACGTTTCGCCTCCTGCTCGTTGTCGTCGTCTCGTAGTCGTCGCAACTCGTAGTCGTAGTCGCCGTTGCCGCTGTCGCTACCGCCACAGCCGCCACGGTCCCCTCCATATTCATTCAATAAACGCGCGCAACTCCGGAATCGGGGTCAAATCGTTGCCACCAGTGTAGAACAGTGATAATAGCGTAGTAGGCCGTAGTAGTACGGTTAAAAAAATAAAATATGAATAAATAATATTAATGTTGCGTACTTGTGATTCGGTACGGCGGTGCCAAACGAAAAGCGCCACCGCTTGCGTTTTCGTGCCGGCGGTACTAACCCATGTCGAACCGTAGTATTCGTGTACGTACGTGGTGTAACCATTATGTTATTACTTCTGCCGCCACGTAGGTCCTCGGACACGAGCGTGGCACCATTTTTTTCGAATCTTATCCGTGACTGAGTCGTCTTCAATATCGTTCGCATAACATCCCGCTGCTTTGTGTAGTCTGCTGAGTTTTCTTCGTAAGTCGTTCGCTGGGTCCAAATTTTGCCCTTGGTGCCTCGCAAAAGACTTCAACGAATTGCTTATGTTTTTTGTCTCCCATCAACGGGGGTCCGATTTGCCATTTTTGTATTTAAATTATTTTCGTCCCTCTTCGACAATGTATGTTTTCTTGTGAAAAAATTAAAAAAAGAATAATCGATTCACTCGGGCACTTGTAGATTGGATTTATCTGTAAACATGCCAAAATATTACTTGATGGGGATTCAAATTTAATGGTATCTCTCATTTTATCCTTATTGGTGGATTCCATTGGTGAGATGCAAACAAATTCCATCGTATTGAATAAATAAACGTAGTCCTAAAATATTAATTTGTTCGATTTTTATGGACTATAATAATTTATCGTATAGTACCCATATAATTTAATGTCTAAATAATGCAGTGGCGTATATAGGTTTTCATTTTAGAGGGGGCCGATTATGTATTTGATTTTCGGGTGAAAGGGATGGAGGAAGCACACTATTATGAAAAAAACTTCTTTAACACTATAAGACTTCTGGACTATTACTACACCATCAGAGAAATAAGAAACTCAATTTTTTTAATGATTTATTATTTTTTAAAAGTATAAAAACTACATTGTAATAAACAAATTTTTTATTAGAGTCACTCAAAATTCACCACATATTTTCTTAAAAGAATAAATATATTTTTTAAATATAAAATTTTAAATTATGGCATAAGCAACATTCTCAGTTCCGCGACAAATTTTCGTAAACCCAGCACTAATATATCCATGTAAAACATAACAATCTTTAACAATGGTATTTTTCATTTCGGAGGGGGCCAGGGCCCCCTTTACCCCCCCCCCCCCCCATAAATACACCCCTGAAATATTGGAATGCTTGAATCAAGTACTTATTGGAATAATTTTACTGTATTTCTATGAAAAAAGATGGAAGTTATATATTTACGTGTATAATGCTGCAAATTTCTTTACAAAATTGTTCATTTATTACTATTTTGAAAATTGTCCTTTAAATATCTATAATAAATCGAGTATTTTTCGATTGTATAGTGTTCAATATAGAACAAAATAATTTTTCGATTGTTAATACGTATTTTTTTTTTAACTGAGTTTAGTACTTACATTTAGTCTTAGTAAAATTTTTCAAGCTCAGTAATTATTAATTAAACATATTGTGGTTATGAGGTCTAATAATTAAATATATTTTTTTCAAAAATGTTTATTTATGACTATTTAACGTTAAATTATTATATTTTAATTGAGTTACGAGGGAAACCAGTGACGCTCACTCGTAACGATTTGTTGTGGACTATAATATTTCCACAAAAACATGTTAAAACAAAGGTATCTATTATTATTATTCTTAAAATGAATAATTTCGTCGTAATTATGACTTTAAATGTTGTTTGAAATAATTGGAATGGTTTTTAAAATAAATTAGTATTACAATATTATGATTTCTTTTTATTAAATGCAGTTAGGTCTTCTGGAATAGAATAACAAATCGTGTTAATTGAAATCAGCAATTTTTTTAAAATTTTATTAAATAAAAAATGTAGTTAAAATGTTTTCAACACAAAGAAAGTACATCACGTGTTTACATTTCACATTCCGATAAAATGTAGTCTTTGGAATTATAAAAATACGGCCAATTCGAAAATCTGTTTTCGTCGTTTCTTAAAAATTAATAATCATTGAGATTTAACATTTTCCCTTAATACCATTACCACCAATTTCTAGAGGTGGCATAAGTTTCAAAAGATTTTTTATGTTTTCTCAGTTTTTTTTGTAAAATGTGAATACAATAATTGTGGTTCAACAAAAGATCTTGAAAATGTATAACATGTTTAAAAAATATTTAAAATTCATTGTTACTACTCTTTTTCTTAAGTATTTTAATAAACAAACTTTGGTCAAACTTAGAACGAAATGACCAAGGAATTAACGATGATTTGTATCATTATTGTTGTTAAAAATTCGTAAAACTAAAATTTGGTACATAAGACATGAAAATTGAAAACTAGAAAATTAACAATTTTTTTATAGCCTGCGAATAATAAAAAAAAAAAAAATTATAAGTGTTAAAATTAAATATTGACAACTTTTTTTAACGAATTTCAAACGATTTAGTAAGTAATTAGCTTGGTTGTTAGAAATGTTGAACTGATATTGTACTCATCTGAAACGCTTTTAATACTCGTTCAAATGTATAAATATAGGGTGGAATTTCATGTTTTATCGATAGAAATATTTTTGTAAGAAAATATCTACATAAGTCTTTTTTTTTCAATTTTTTTCTACTAGTTTTTTTTTTATATTTTAGGAGGCTATACGACAAATTAACTATACTAAAACAACAAATTAATACATATGGAAATATAATTATTGGGAAAACCTTTTTGGGTCACTGTGAGTAAATGTAATTATATATATAGAAATTAGATTTTTTGTATATAAAAATTAATTTATCAATTATGAGAATAAATTAAGAAATTATGTGATAGGCAATCAATTAAGAGTTAATGAAAATATTTATAATCAGGAAGAGTATAGGATGATTTGAATAATTGTACTCGATATTTAAATTGCACTATACCATAACCTCTGTCATAACCTAATATTTATGGTAGACCATTTTTGTGTTTTAAATGTAGTAATACATTTGTTTATTTTACGTTTATTATGATTTTTACATTTAATATCAGTAATCTATAACCGACAGATATTGATTAAATCGAAATAAAATTCTTTGTTTGAAAATTAAAGACATTTAAAATTAGTATAACTAAAGTACAAGTGTTATTGATATCTTCAATGACTTCTTAAATAGTATTTTTTATAATCCAGCGTTTGACATATTCTGTAACTCAAAAAAAAAATAAATAAATATTGTTATTAATGTTGCACTGTTATTGAAGTATATTAATACACATTTCTCCATTTTATGTGTTATATAATAATTGTATAAAAATGTTCACCACGTAAACTTATACTTATTTTAAATATATTTTTTCAGATTTGAAAAGTAAAATGTAATTGTTTAATACATCTGTATTAAAACAAAAAAACATTGGAAATGTCGTCTAGAAAAGGTGCAGATACCGGGATTACCGCTGGTGAGGGTCAAAATCAAAAACTGAGTTCAGTAACTGCTAAAACAAAACTAAAAAGAATATCTAACGCTAGTGACTCACCACCAGGACCAATCCATTCGACAAAAAAAACTAATAAAAAATCTTCTCTACCCCAAAAAAATTTAAAATTAGATCAAAAAAATGTGAAATCAATGAAGTCAAATAAAAAAAATGAAAAAGAAAGTGAAGATTCAGATGAGAAAAAAGATTTGGCAAAAAAATCAGCTAAGCAAAAGTTAAAAGAAAAATTTGTTACAAAAACTGTGAAAAAACCAATTAAGGAAGTTAAAAAAGGGAAAAATTCTGCTTCTGGAAATAATGAAAAAGTTGAAAAAATCCCAAAAACTAAAAAACCCATTAAAAAGGTTGAAGATAAAGAAGAAAAGAAACCCAAAGAAAAAGTTCTGAAAGAGAAGAAGGTTAAAGAAGTTAAAGAAGTTAAAGAAGTTAAAGAACTAAAAAAGAAACCGGAAAAAAAATCTATTTTGAAACCAGTAAAAAAAAATATAGAAGATGTTGAGTCTTTAAAATCTCGTGTTGATTTAAAGGCAGAAAAAAAAGAAAAATTAAAAAAAGTTAAAACGGTTCCTAAAAGTAAGGTAAAATTGAATTCAGCCAAAAAAATTGATGATAATCCTCAAATAGAATGTATGGATATCGTAAAAGATGAAAATCCTGATGATGTTGCTCTTTTGCAAGTTTTTCAATTAAAGAATGGTCCAGTTTGTGATTTCGATGGAAGCGTGTGTAATACCATAACAATTAGACAAGATAATACTTGTATAAAAATTAAAGAAATATCGGTTAGCCAATTACCATATCCATTAAAAACAGAAGAAAATGAGAAAATAGATGTGACATCCACACCTGTAAAAAAAGAATCAAAACAAAATACTGAAAATCAGAATACCGAAAAACCAAGTGTCGATAAACTGAAATCTGAAAAGCAAAAAAACGAAAAATTAAAAAGTGAGAAACAAAAATTGCAAAAGCAAAAAGAGAAACAAAAAGTCGAAAAAAAGAAAGCCGAAAAAGTAATAAAAAAATTAACCAAAGTCGAAAAACAAAAACTCTTAGAAGTAGATAAAACCAGATCAAAAGGTAAAACAAAAATTACACCAAAGACTAAAGCCAAAGGCAGACCTGTGTCAAAAAGGCCTAGAGTTGCATCTCTAAATGCAATTGCCAAAGTTCATTGTTTGTATGAAAATGAGAGTAAAAGCGCATTGATCGACGCTATGGCTGCTTCTGCAACTACAACTACAACAGCACTTCCAACAAAAGCTAAGAACGACTCAGATGTTGAAATACCAGCTAGAAAAGGAAAGAGAACGTCTAAAAGAACAACTCCTGGTTTAAAAAGTGTGGGAAGGCATTGGGACATGCATGATACCAGTTCTACTAATAGTTCTTCATCAGGTAATTTTACTATTTTCATTAATTAAAAATTATTTTTACATTTTTAAAACCATGTTTCCCAATCTTTATTAATATTATTACCAAGCTATTACATAATATTGATTTATTTTTTTATTTTCTCGGGACACAATGCAAATCGAGAACGTAATATAATATTAAACTGGCAATTTATTTAATTTTATCCAAAAAAAACTTTTCTACATTTTATGTAAAATTCCGTTTACAATTAAATTTTATGGTACTAGAAGGTACTAGAAGATGTAATTTTGTTTTGGTGGTACTTTTATGTTACAATAATTGTATTATACCGCACTCTCTCGTGTATTATGCCAATCATCGATTTATTATATATTATTTATTCCTTATGTTCTATGCGCAACGTAGCAAATTTCCTTTTATTTATAGTGTATTGCGTAGTATTAGGGATGAAAAAATCTTTCTAGAATTTTGAGTTACTTAGATTTTATTGTTAGATATTTATTGTTGAATTTTTTTTACAATGAAATTTATTTTACTATAATGATAGTAATTGTTTGTTTTCTTAATTAATTCTAATATATAAGTTTTCCATCTTGGTTAGACTTACTATTGGTTTTATTTTTTTATTTGACAAACAAAATATTAATAAGACTATAACCAATTTAAAAATAAGGTTCCATTGAAAAATGATATATATTTATATAATATTATTATATCATTTAAATATTTATCAATGACTAAGGTCTAGAATATTCAATTTCGTACATAAAAATTAATTTTAGCTTGGAAGTTGGCAACAATAAAATTTATTGAATTACAGCTTACCATAATTGTTTCACCTTTCAATTAACCATTATTACTTATGTTCTGAACCTTGAAATTTGGTTGAATTTTTTCGTTGTATTTTTTATAGACAAGTTAAATCAATAATATTTATTTTGTTCGTCTAAATGAAAATCAGACTGTTGAAAATTGTATTATTAATTATAATACTACTAACAGTTTTAATTTTTATACTAAAATTTATGTGATTACATATATTATAGTTGTATATTAATTGAAAGTATAAATAAAAAATTAAATATAATACTATAAAAAGGAAAAAAAAATAGTATCGATTTGCCTATGCTCTAGGCATAATTTAAAATAACATTAAAATGTAATACATTGTCAAATAGTTTAAGAAGTTTCATAGGAAGTTTAGGATTTCTATAGAATATCTATATTAAATATGTGACCGATGACATATATACATTATATAATACCGAGTTTTTAAACGTTGATTGGATTTATTTTTACAGGTGTAGACGATGCCAAATACGAACCTCCAAAGTCGGCTAAACGTACGAAAAAGCAACCAGTGATTACTCAGCCTGCAAGTACAGATGAAGAAGAAGAAGGAGAAGAGGAACCTGAAAGTTCTCCTAAGGAAGTTACTTCACCAACGGGTGGATCTAAACGAAAGAGACGCAATGCAGATAATGTAACTATGGACCTTAAAGATATGGTGGTGAAAAAACGTATGGCTAGTCTAAACGCATCAGCTATATTAGCAGCCAGTTATTCGACTGAAAAAAAATCACCGCCTAAAGGACAGGACAGTTCGAAGAAATCGACCACAAGTTCTGAAGTATCTTCAGAACGATCAGAACCAGAAGATGATGCGGAAGATGAAGATTCGGATGGACATAGAGAATCCACGATTCGTTCAACGACACTTCATCCAACGCCTTTGCCACCTATAGTTCCCCCACCATCATCTCAACTTGCTGTCATCGTAAATCAAGACACAGACGTCACTATCACCACCGGCGTGTATGTCAATAGCACTACACGGTCTACGAGACACGAGGAGTTTTGTACTATATCTGGGCTCCAGTACCGAATATCTAGTACAAGTCATACTCAAACCGAAGCCACAGCCGTGGCTACCGAAACGTTACTCCATGCTGATCACGTGAGTAGAACATAAATTATTATTTGGTCTTAATTTCAAAAACAAACGTAAATTTAAATCAAAGGTAGGTAATAAAATAGATAGGTTAATTATATTATTAAAATTATAGTATTATATAAAACAGTATTTTAAAATATAATTAATTGAATATTTGTAGTATTTAATAATAAAAAATCATTAATTTAGTTGTGTAATCACAGTATTTTAGTCAAAGATTCAAGTTAGTTTCGATACATGTGTTTCAACAGACTAACAACTTGGAATTTCATTTATTGTTTTTGTATACATATACACAGAGTTATTTTTAGGGTTTTTATCCTTTAAATACATAAAATGTGATGCATATATATTTTTTAACACACCAATTATTATTATTAGCTATTTATAAACTTAATTTCTTTAAAAAATCTAAAATTATGATGTTTTGTAAATATAATGTAATTGTATCCTTTTAAATTTTTTGGCCCCCGGTTTGGCCCCTTCGAACCCATGCCTTAAGACAGCACTGCGTATACATATTTTTGTAATGAATTCTACTCATTTTCATTTGTGGCATTTAAAATAAACCATAAAATACTTTATGAGGACAAAAAAAAGTAATCCGTTTTTTTTTTGTTTTATGTTTTTGTTTGTCTATTTCCTCGTCCACCTCCTTTTGTCACGTTACACACATTCACTGTTTGCCAAACGACAACATCCGGCTGTATTATATTGTCCCATTGTTGTCATTAGCTTTCCTTCTCAGAGCTTTTTATTTTTCACTTTTTTGTAAAGCGATTTTATAAAAAAAATAATATAATCCATTATTCGGCGGCACAGTACGTTTCTCACGAAAAAATTCAAGATTTATAGTATATTATTTTTCTTTATAGGGAAATATGTCATATTGTTGTTTATAATTTTCAATTTATTTTTTAACAATAAATCCATTTTCTTTTTTTGAAAACTTAAAATTAGTATAATCTAAATTTTAATAATATGAGATAATCATTTTAAGTTGAACTCACAGTAGTAAATATAAAGAGGGTTAAAATGTGTGTTAGTTAAATTTAAGACTCTCTATGATATTAATTTTATTTCTTTTATGGTTAGTTTTCATTCTTTACTTAGTATTTGGCATAAACTTATAAGTACATATATGTATGTATTGTAATTATATATTATAATCTGTAAGAAATTATACACAAGATTAAACATATATTTCGTACATTTCGAGTCGTTTTGAATTTTTCTCAACTAAATGCTTAAAATTGTAAGATAAGTATTATATTTGTTTAAAAAAGTACTTTAGAAGTTTCTCAGTATTATTAAATATATATGGATTCATTGTTAAACTTGATTGTTTGTTTGTTATTAATTAAAATCTGTTACTGCTAAGTTCATTTTATGTTCGAAAAGCTTACTCAACTTAATCACTACCACTAACTCTTTGAGAGCTAAAATGAATTGTTATTATTGTAACAATCTAAAAGGTTATTATTTAACAATTATAATTTTAACTATAATATTTAAAATTTTATAATTTTAAAAATAATTTACTTCTTTTGTGTAATACAAATGTTCAATGTGTTTTGGTTGATTTATTACATTTTACATTGTAATAAACATTATTTTGAAATAGGGGTTGAGTTGTATTTTTTAACGTTTTAGGATCTATTATGTGCACGCATATTTATTGTGGACATTATTTCACGCGTTTTGTGTGTTTGATAGATTATTTCGTTTACAATTATGTTTAATTGTTTTTAATACATAAAATATAGCCTAGTACTTAATAAAAGTCTTTTTAAATTATTTCATTCATAAGTTATAAATAAAGAAATATAAAACGGTTCCTACTTCGAATTAATTTTTAATATTTTTAAACAAAAAAATATATTTAAATTTTAATTATTAGTACGACCAACATAAATGTACTTTAATTTTATTTATAACATTATTTATGATATAAATATTTTGTGGTTAACAAGGTATTCGCATTTTTTCAAGGTAGGTTCGAATATTATGGCAAGTGCCATGTCTAAATATAATTAATCTAGTTTACTAAATTATTTAATATAAAATAAAATTTTAACTTAAATAATAATTGTTACTATAGATAATATATACTATAGAAAAAATATTATTTTTTAAGTTTTCTAGTTGATATAAAATATATTTTTCAATTAAAGAAAAATAATTTAAATTCATTTTTATTATATTCAGTTTTTGAACTTATAGATTCATTGTTATAGTTTATAGGTAATATTTAAATATAAATCTGAAAGACATATAAGTCATTAATATGTATTTAATAATATTCCATTAATAATGGTTATTTGTATTGTAGTATTTTTTTTAATACATTTTGGATATATTATACAAGCTATATTTTTCTGTTTTTTTTTCTTTTTCGGAAATATAAACTTAAAATTCAGAATGTGATATAAACTTACAGAAGGATAGAATATAAGTATTGGAATACATAATTAATATTTACACCATGATACGTTAGTTAACTCGTATATTGGCTTTGTCCCATAAAATGAAAACTTCCGTGATACACTGATTTATTTTTTTCCAAACAATTTCTGAACTTTTATATTAAAATTAAAATTATCCCAGACTATTATATTATTTGAATGATGTTTTCATGAAATAAATGTTTTCAATTTATATCTAAGCGCGACGCAAGTAATGAAAATATTTTATTAAAATAATTTATTTGTTTTGTTTTCAATGTATAAAATGTAAGAATCTCTTGTAATTTTTTATCTAGCATTTAGTATATGTATGTATATATATAAATATATATATGTTCGGAATTATTTCAATGTGTACTCAACTATACTAAAGCCCTTTTTGATATTTTTTGCCATGTTGTATAGGCATTAATATCACTATAGTTGTCCCTCTTCGAAGCCTTCCCAGACACACATCCCCTTGCGTATAATGGCTGTTGATCCTTTCGGCATACCTCTGTTTTGTGTGGTATAAACCACCTGCGGCAAAGAAAGTAATCTAAATTGGTAATCATAGAGTCGTATTCGCTTATATCAATCAATCCTTTTAGTTAGGAGGAAATAGAAAACTTAAAAATGGTTCTAATATTTTTTACCAAACAATTACTTACATTGAAAATATGAAAGAACCTTATACGATATTTTATATGAATTTACAAGTACTTAACTTTTTAATTTTATCAAATACACGAACAATAATATTTTACAAATAATTTATCATTCTGCAAAATCGAATTATAAATTTTTTTAACTTAGATATTCAACTATAGTTAATCATTGAAATAATGTATCATATATTTATCTAATTTTATATTTTTATTATTTGTTTAATGCACACACACACACACATAAATACTTATTTAAATATTTATAAATTTAAACGTATAATGTAAAATGTAGAAATACTAAAATTAACACCTCAGTATATTATTATCTTTTTTTGGTTTTGGTTTTCGATCATCGAGACCATATCGCGAAACAAATCTCTCTCCATCCATCTCTATCTTCCACCGCCATTCTCTATAGTACTTCTGATTGGATCTTTCAGCATATAATTATGCCGTTTTTAAATTAAATAATCATTCTTGACATAATTCTAAGATTTATTATAAACCTTACAACCAAAATTAATAAAATTGATTATTTGTTGATGAATAATTGACTTATAATAAATGTATGTGTTTTCCTCCAAAATGTTTACAATTAAGCATAAAAAACTTAACTTGATATTATCTTTGACTAAAGTTTTACTAATTGAAATGTTCAAACTTTATGAGATGTGGCTGCTGGTATATTGTTTTTAAGTTTATTTTTAAGGCATTATGGGTGGAATAGATACTTTTGAAATTTGTTCGCGTATACAAAAAGTTTTGGGTAATCGTATTCGTTTTCTGAGTGTAAAAGAATTAAATATGACTGTATCATTTAAGCATAACTTTAATTAAACAATATTTTAATTTTAATTTTCATAATATTATTTAGGTTATGTTATATTTAATTTGAGTTTCTTTATCTTATATAGTTTGTTATTTAGAAAAAGGTTAATAGCCACATTTTTATATTTTTATAAATTATAATTTACTGTAATAAATTATACTTAGTATTGACATATAATTTGTGATTTATGGATATATTTTAAATTATGAACATTAAACGATTTCTTTACACCTTTGAATTACTCAAATAATATATTTTCTCTAAATTATTTGATTAGAGTCTTGTATTTGATTGTAATTTAATTTGATCAATTATAAAAATATTGGAATAATTTTTCTGATAGATAATTAATTTCGTGTACGTTTATTTATTTTATTAATTTATACTGCCCATTGATTAATTAAATAAGTATTTAATTAAAGGACATTTCTTAAAGAAAACAGAGCATTTTCTAAAATAAAATTATGATAATAATAGAATATTTTCCAAATCAATAAGAATAAAAAATAACCAACTCATATAAAATATTTTTAAAATACCCATAGTTTGAAATACTTGTATGAAGATTGTATTTTTAGGCTGAAGTTAATTGTAAAATAATATTTAACTAAAAAATATTTTTCAAGTTACTTTAAATTTTAAAGGCAATTGTTATCTTAATCGATTATAAAAACTTCTTTGTATTCTACTATTAATGATGGAGAGGGCCTCAAAATTTCTGTTATAATTAGTCATAAAAGTATAGTGTTATCCTAATGTAACTAATGTCAGAGGAACCCTTAGATCGTATTGGACTTCGTCGCGTTTACGGTATACTTCTGATTCGGGTCGATGCGGTTGTCCGGGGAAGGTCGATGACCTTTTCAAACATTATATTGCTTTAGTATATATATAGTGTAGCCCACCGAGGCGTCTGTGTTGTTGTGCATACAAAAATAATTTTCGGATATCCGTTTCTCTAGCGAAATCAACATCGAACTCTATGTTCGGCATTTATGTGTGTGTGTTTACGTGCACATTGAAATTGATTTTCAAATCGTTGTACGCAACATTAAAATTAAT